TTTATTGAAAAATGGAGAGCAACATTGAAAGAGGAGCTTGAGAGAAGAAGGAGAGCATCATGCCCACATTCGGACCCTCTTAAAGAAGCCACCGACAAATAAGGGACAAGCCCATTTTGTAAGGCCTATAAAACATTCGACGTCGCTGCCTTCAAACGTCTTCTCAAGGATTTTTCGTCAAGGCTCAACTTGAACTATAAAACACCAGCTTAGAATTCAGAAAAACCACAGAAAACTTCCAACACAAAATTTTATGAAAAAAAATTTTTTACTTCGGAATAAACACTTTCAGAACCAAAGTCACAAACGTTTTCTTGAACAAGAAAAACTTATCTCGATAAACTGACGTCGGCGAGGTTGGTAAATTAGGTCGTAGTAATTCGGCTGACGTTTTCGGTGACCCCGCCTTCTTCAGAGAGTGGGGCGTATGTACTGCTAGTCTGTTTGGATGATTCGAAGGATCTTATTTATATGCTGTTTAAATCAGGATAAAGAGTCAAAGATTTTTTGATTAAAGAAGCTTTTGAATTGTTTCCTAAACGTTTCACTTGAGTCCAGTTCTGTCACTGAAGCGATGCATAACTATGTTGAATATGTAACCACAAGAAGCTTCATGTACGAAAACTATCAAAGATAGTTGAAAAGTTTTGTGAAAGGCGACACCAACACGTCAAAATCGAGTGCAACAATCTTGTCGAAGCGGCCTCAAGATTACTCTCGTTCACATATTGCGTGTCTGAATTTGCAAAAAGATTAGAGAGTTCAAGGTTGTTAACGTCCAAGTCGTCCAACACATAGTTCAGATTCTGTTCAAAGTGATTACCATCTTTTCAAGTCTCTGCAACAAGTCCTGACAGGGGAAACGTGTTGCCAAAAGTCAACTAATACCTATGAGAATTGAGTGTGGAGCAAAAACGCGGCCTCAGGCGGGAATCGAACCCAGGTTTCATCCTATCCGGGGACGACGCTGCTCTTACCCACTACATCACTAAGGGCAACATCTGCGCGAGACCACTTATTCTTCAATATCTCAATGTTAGCTTATTCAGCACCAACCTATGGAACAGGCTTGGTCGGGTATGCGCATTTCGCTCTATAAAGCCAGTTGAGCTGACAGCTATTCTAAGTACTAATACTCGACATTAATAGTATTTTTAAGGCATTTCGCATTGTTGTGATTTTTTCTATATACCTTTCTATATACTATTAATGTCGAGTATTAGTAATTAGAATAGCTGTTAGCTCAACTGGATTTATAAAGCGAAATCGCATACCCGACCAAACCTGTCATAGGTTGGTGGCTGATAGCTAACATTGAGATATTGAAGAATGAGTGGTCGGGCAAATGTGCCTTAGTGGTGTAGTGGTAGAGCACGCGTTCCCGGATAGGATGAAGCGTGGGTTCGATTCCCTCCTGAGGCCGCGTTTTTGCTCACCACTCAATTCTCTTAGGTATATAGAGAACATCATAACAATGCGAAATGCATTGAAATACTATTAATTCAAAATCAATAATGTTATGAAGCAGGTTGTGATCATTACAAAGTAGAAGAAAATCTGTACACTTGCAAAAAGTAAAACGGCCTACATATTTGAACTTTTGAGATAGAGAGCTTTCGAATGACACAAAACACGATAAAAAAGACCAAGATTTGAATTCTTTGTGAATAAATAAAATTGCCTAAAAATGCGACAAGAGCTAATTTTTGACCTGAATCAAAAACGATTATTTTGCTGATAAGCTGTAACAATGTTCTTTAGAAACTTCAGACTCTTTCATCTTTTTTGAAGTTGGAATTGTCCGAGTTGCTCGTTTGCAACCACGCACTCTTCCATTATAGAACTTTGTTGTTGCTCTTTATCGAATATAGTAGAGAAAAGTAGTTTTTGAATGAAGATCCTTATTTTACACTATCAATTTATGCTGACGGTGCCACATAAACTGATAAATATGATCAAAGTGACATTAAAGTCAGAAAACTACATATAAGCCTAGTTCGTCTATCGACATCACAAAATCTCAGCTTCTAAGAATAAATTTCTTATGTGGCGTGATGGCACCTGTTCTGACATCTCGGTTGTATCCTTCAATTCGTTTTCCTTCAACAATGATTAGGAATTTCCTTCGTGTTTACGTGAGAATTCCTTTCTGCTTAAGAACTTCCGTGCTCTCACTAAATCCGTCAGGTGCTGGTCGCATAAATCATTCCTAGATTCTGGGATAAAAGACTTTATAAATTACGACCTGATTCAAACCAGTGAATAATGTTTAGATCTTCGTTGTAACGAAGTGCATCACTATCGAAAACTTTTATCTTTGTGATGACTCAACTTTACGTCTAATGTGTAGATTCGAGCAACTTGGAAATGGTGGAGAGATACAAGGTGTTTGAATCAGTCTCTCAATAAACGAGCTCCATGTCTACTTTGGAAAAGACAGACAAGTTGCTTCTGAGTGTATACGGCTCTCAGTTAGATAATCGGCAAGTTATTCATCGCGTAAAACAATAATTTAGTAAGTAAATCGTTCTCTACTCCCCAAAAAAGTCCTTTTGAAACGGTTTGTTGATTTTGGTTGATTAATTTGTTGGCCTTCTTAAAGTCTTCGTTTTACTTCTTTATAACAGTAAGACGATTTTACAATTGTACGTCTAAGAATGTTAGGTGCTATACAAATCTTTTTACATCCCTCAGTGCTTTCCATGCTACTTGACTTTCTTAGTTAGTTGACCTTTTGGAATATGACACACTCAGGATGAACGTGTGGCTTCCTATGAGAGTCACAGTTCTAATGAAAAAGAGCTCCGTAAATGAACTGGCGTATTCGAATTTATTTTCAACCTAACTGTCTCATTATGGAACATGGACTATTCATGATTTACACTATCCCCTACAGTCGGTTCTACAACTGCTTTTCTACTCATTTTTCTTCTGGGACGGCACTTTCTTTCGCTTTTTACGACACCTTGATGTAACTCGGCATATGTTTTTGGTGACTTACCAGATCTTCTTTTCAAGAAAGTCGTTCTAAGTAGTCAGTTTCTCACTATTTATTGGTGTTTATGTTATACATATCGTTCTGCTTTCGACGTTCTTTTATATTGAATTCTACAAATTCGTGTATTTCCATATCCATATGCATATATTGTATTTCGTGTATCCACATGCAAGAAGCTCCACCAATATTTACCTGCTTTCACTATAGTAGGTTAACTTTCATAGCAGACACGCAAAGCGAAGGTGCCCTGTATTTAGTTCCTGAGAAACCATAATATTTACTCTCTCGGGTATAATATATATACGTTTTCTTGCACCGGTAGTTGGTCCTGCAGCGTTTGAAAATTTCTCCTCAACCTCTTATCAATTTGCAAATGGTGGATAGTAAATTCTGAAGATCGATCTGCAGCTCTATTTCTGTTGAATATTTTATGCAGTTCGCCTTTGCATCGAAATGTTTGATGAGATGTCGATTCATAGTAATAGAACAAATGGCGGTCTCAAGATTTTCAATACTTGCTTATAAGTTGTACCTGATCATAACGTGTTAGGCCTTAACCTGATTCCTCTAACGAAAATAATAAATCACTAAACTTCAAGGATTTTGTTAAGATTGTGTACTGACTTCATGTCTCCTTTCACCATCCCATCACGATCAGGTTTTTCTGCCTAGTTCGTTGACCCAATTTATGATAATCTTTGTCTGTTAATATGATATCGCATATATACATCATGACTTAGAATAATTCATAACAATTTCAAGCACTGAAAAAGAAAATTCTTCGAGATGTCAGTCATTATACAGAATTCTTTTTATTTAAGCTCTTCTACTGGTGATATGATGTAATGGTCTACTCAGTGGTGTGGAGTTATGCGCAAAATATTCGCGTCAGACGGGACTTTAACCCGCATTCCGTCCAATCTTGAGGCAGTGATTTATCTTTCGCACTACTGACGCCTGTTCCTTTCTACGCTACAACGCATCGTCTTTACGATTTTTACAAAATGAACTCTGCTTGATTAACTAATACCCATTATGTGTCAGCCTGACTGGGTTCAATGTCAATAGTGACTACCCGGGCCAACGCGTTGACAGTTAGTTGCTGACAGATAGATGCTTTGTAGAATAGAAAGAAAGGTGTCAAAACAGGCGTTGGGGGTGTAAAAGATAGAGCACGCGCCCCCTGATTGGGCGCTATGCGGGTTCAAATCCCGCTCGACGCAAATGTTGCACATCACTCCGCATCACCGGTGTGTCAGCCATCACATCTCAACGGCTTCTGGACGAAGTTGCTTTAAGCAGCAATCCTAACTTCAATCTAAGCCGAGTGGTTACTGCTTCATAGACTTTGCATCTTCTCTCATTGACTTATCATAATCCGGCTTTCCTTTTGTCCTTCCAAGTACTTCTTTCAGCCTTGTCTGTTAATGTAGTATCATAATAACGTGAAGCATTATGTAATACATCACGGCACGTGCATTTTCCACATATGGTAGAATTGCCAAGGCACAGCTATCGTTTTTCAGGAGCTTCTAATGGAGACATCTTTTGTGTCGACTTCACAGAAAGGTTCGTAGAATTCCGACTACTTTTTAATACCGAGGTTCATTAGAAGCCAGCAATTCAGAATGTTTCTTTATGATGTAAGAAAAATGAAGGGTATTCCATTGCGTTGCTAGGAAGTTATTGTTTGATTGGTTATTTTATTTTTCTTGAATATGTTTTAGCAATACTCTTTCTTCGAACAGCTGCGCTGTTATTCACAATCTAAATTCTTTTGATTGAGCATTTGTAATGTTTATTCATGATGTAATGAGAAGTGACAAGGACGTTCCATTACGTTGTTAGGAAGTTAAGGTTTGATTGGTAATTTCATTTCTTCTGACTATGTTTTAGTAGTACTTTTTCTCCGAACGTTTGCACTGTTATTTACAATTTGAATTCTTTTTTATGCACTTTTCATTTTTTCACGTTTGTTTTCAACTGATCTTTTGATAAATTTCAAAGTTAGATTTACAGGTGAGAGAACAGCAATTTTGGCAATCAAATTTCGACTAGATCAAATCCGGACGAAGGTACTGCAAATATTTCATAACATCGAAGTGAGAGGAAGCCAATAAAGTGTTACTGGGCGGTGCAGCGTTGTTCTTCAAAATTTCGAGATTCTGCTAATAATGACGGTGAACTGATGGCTTCCGTTCAAGCAAATACACTCACAGTGTCCAAGAATATACAAAACTGAGAAGGTACAAGTATCTCAACTTTATCGGGCACCTGAAAATGAGCAAAAAGCGAAGTAGTACAAAAATGCGGCATGAATTAAATGACAATAAAAGAAATTATCGTTGCGAGGTACTTCTATCTCTTCTACAGAAAAAACGAGTACCCACCTGTAAATAGTGTTATGGCACGAGACAAAAAATAGACTTTCGTAGCCCTTATTTTGAATTACAAACTACTTGCAAAGCGAAATTGAACCTAAGCATGAATTTAAATCCGCAACATACTTACGAATAGGAACCTTGCAGGTTACATCTAGTCATATCTAGACTGTTTGCTATATACGTTTTTTTTAACCCCTTCGCGACTGCGTGTGCCACTTATGGTACACGCGAATTTCTGTTATTTTTTCGTCAACCATAGAATTCGTATTAGATGAAAATAGCCATTCGATAGCTGAAAAAATTTCGATTCTGTTGGCATCCTTTGCTTTTGAATATACTTTTTCAGTGAGCTATAACAACGAAAAGAAAACAGCGTTTTTCTCTTCGGACTGTACATAGTGAATTGCACTCGTGTTCACATGGTCTTCTCATACAGCAAAGGTTTTTCACCAAAGTTTCAGTACTCATTTGTTAACTTGAGAAGTGGTGATTCTAAATATATGCTCAGTTTTTGAATTAATCAGAAAATGAGAGGCATTTTACGCGCCGTAAAACGATAAAGAAAAACTGCGTTTCGCCTCCGGAGTGTTTTGCGTGATCCGCTATCGTTTAGGCTTGACCTTACAGTAGAGTATTGATAATAGTTTGCAGAGTGTAGATCTTAGTAACCAGTTTTTTTAAACTGATTTTTAGCGCGTTGAAGTAAGGAAATAAAGATTATATTTCACACTTTGAGTGAACATTCAGTCCCTTGAACTTTGCAGCTTTGCTTTGGTGATTGTATAGTGAAATTCGTACTCCAGAGAGAATTTATGATCAGAAAGGATGATATTTACCAAGTGCCATTTGTAAAAGTCTTTTTAGTAAAAGGAAAGCTCACGTGTTTTAAAAATTCTCACTTTTCAGTACCTAGATAACATTGAGGGGAAATAACGCATCTTCATTTATTACGTCATAGTTTGAAATTATGCATTAGTGTAAAACTAAAACGGATTTCTCTCGAAATATAAGTTTTCCAAAGACCTTATGTGGTGTGACTTTCAGCACGCAGTGGAACAAGCTTTTATGAAGCTCACAATCATCAACTTGTAAACTACTTCTGTGGAGAAATTGTCCTCATACGAATTTTCAAGCCCCACCCCCATTGATGTTGTTGATCCTTTGTTTGAAATATTATTCAGCAAACAATAAATTATACAACAACCATTGATCATTAGCAGTTCACCTTAAATATCAGTATCGGTTAACATTTACCGCGTTGCATAGAAGTCTGCTTGTTAAATTCAACAAAATATGCGTTCTATAACAATAAGCATCAAGTCCTGAAGTTATCGTTTTCGGTTCATAAACGTCTTCAGTGTTATAAGACATGATTTTTCGGCCTAAATTATACAAGATATCAAAAGCCAAAACGTTTAATACACATCTCCAATGAGAAGTATTGAGACAAGGTAGACAAATGTACTGCTTACATCGACTGCGCCTCGTGCTTACTCTTTTGGCTTCGATTTAGGCATAAGCACTCCTTACACGTATTACTAATTTTCTATGACATCTATTACGACGCCCACGTCCTAGCAAAGTGACTTCAAGAACACGCCTGGTTGTCGGCTGGGGAGCGAATGATCCTGTAAGTATATGAGATGAACATCCATCTAAAATCGGTAAACGAAATTTTCTTCACGCAGTCTTTGTAGATTTTCCACGCGTTCATCATGCACATATGCGGTGAACAGACCATGTACATGAACTGTGAAATTAGGTATCGCGAAGCAATGTCGCAGTAAAATGCACTCACCATTTACATGTCTTCCTGATGTATGAGCAATAGGCAGCCATTTGGCCGGTGAAATCGACGAGCAACCCCTGCTTGTTGTAACTCTACACGCTCCTAAGTAGGGTTGCTAAAAGACGGATGGCTGCTCCAATAATTTTTCAGGTGTGGTAGCTTTCTCACTCATTCGCATATACAAAGCTGTGGATGTCTTTATTTCTTCCACAGTGGTATCCTCCCAACCGGCGCTCTTCTGAGTGCCATAGATGTTTGCTTGCTCTGCGACCAACTCCCAGAGATCGGTCATGAGCAGTTCGTAGAAATCAACTGGTTTCCGGCACCTGGTGACAATACTGTTTTGAACACCTACCTCTGGATCATTGAAGAGTAGGACGTTGGGTGGCTGCACATTAGTGGTCTAATCACTAACTATAATGTCAACATTTGAAAGAGCTCTTTGTGCATTGTCAGTGCCGTCATCGTCATCCTCAGAACCTTGTGGAGTGTGCACGTTTTTGTCAATGCTCGCGCCTGATTTGTTACCAGTGTCGTCGTCAGCGCTTACAGCCAAGCCTTGGAGCATGGTTTCCAATTCTCCATCTTCATAACGTTCCCAGTCTTCTTTACCTAAGGCTTCCTTGTCTTTTCTCTTGGCATAACGGCGCTGAATGATAAGCTCTTGAATATTCGCGAACAGCATGGCAAATTATCATTATGCGACAGCTTCTTTTGACGTACTGTTAATTGTTTTCCAATTTCCAGTCACCTAAGTGCTTTTTTACAGTAAAATATATTGAAACTGATCGATTTATATAATTATATCCTTTGTACAACTTAAGGCGATTGACAGAATGCCAACATTACTGTGATTACGTAGTAAAAGAGAGCTTCTTTTTCAGACATAAACGTTATATTTGCACCAAAAGCATAGGAGTGTGTAAAGAAAATCGTAATTTATCGAATTTGTACTAAAAGTCCCAGACTTTTGCAATGACGAAAAACCGTGATCTAATACCAAAAAATGGCAATTCGCACTGCGTGAGGCTGTTACAACTTGATAGTCCCGAAAGGATTAATACTCCCCCTAAGCTTTCTGGAGCGTCATGGTAGCAGACATACTTTATTTTCCTGTTCTTTCATTCATTATACAAAAGCTTATGAAGTATGATGCTGCTTTGTTGAATTGCTCTTACGTAATTTTTTTCTAATTTTATTCCATTTTGCTCTCCTGCTAGATGTCCAAATGAGATGTCGGGCTCGAACCGGTGTGCAGTCACATTGCAATCGCTTAGTGAATGCATGATTTTCCAGTCTGATCTTCCCAGTTGGCAATCACTTCGAAATTTACATCAAGCAGTCTAGCCTAAAATAAGTGACTGCAAAAAATAACCGCCGCTGTGGAATCAAGTTTGTCGCGAAATAGCAGATTTCTCCGTCATTGAGAGAGGCGGGAATCATCGAAGTTGATTTTAGTAGTGCCGAATTAGGAGAGAGTCCATTACACGTGACATCGGGACTCCGCTTACGACGTTTACGCGACGAAACATACGGTGAGAGGCAAATTCGTCAGGATACCGAGGTGTCCAGAACCAGAAGAAGCTGACGTGCCCACGACGCTATTTAGAAGTCATTTTATCTTTAATTGTGCTTTGAGATAAAAGGCTTCGGAAGACTGTTCAACCCCGAAACTACTTCTCGTTCGCTAGTGGCGAAAATGTGTAACCTATCGGATAAGCTTCTCGAGGAAACATGTTCAAATACTACATTGAGGTACACGTAAATAATTTAAGAAAGATTTGAACACTATAGAAATTTATGTAGTTAGTTCGTAGGTGTAGTGTAGACTTCCACTAGGTATATTATGAAGCAGATGTCAGAATAGTGGGACTGTTGGCAATAGGTCGGATGCGGAGCGATAGACCGTTCAACTTGTGTTTAACTTCGCCAAATTCCATATTGGGTATTGACTTATCCCACTCTTTCACCTTGGATTTCAGAGCTTTATACATTAGAATACTTCGGTAACGTAAGGCTCTCTTGTTCTACCTTTCCTTCGAGTGCTTTT